ATTCGTGCATTACGAGAAATATCCATGCACATCAAATGTAATTATTGTAGAGTCATATGTGTAAGTAGAAACAAAGTTGAATTTTCAGCTGAAATAATTTAGACTGCTTTTTTTGCATCATGAAATGTCTGTCATTCGTTAGATAAAGATGCATTATAACTCTCTGAGTACACCAACAGTTTGTAGAATCTGAATCAACAGATTCCTGCAGAAAATGTATTTCACTCTGCCGTCGTCGTAGGAGGAGGTACCTTTGTTAGAACGTTTAATACTAAGCCGTTGAGTGTTTTCGAAGTTCTGGGATCCATTGCAGGAATCTTAAGTAGGTTCTTCAACTTTGGTCATAGACCACCTGCAAATGTTAATGGTTGTATGACTCTTGCATTAGTTACCGTAAACATGCATTGGAAATTTGAAGCAGACAGGATGAGACCATCTCGTCTTACGAACGAATTAAAAAAGAGAAAAAAAAAAAAGAAACAAATTAAACAGGCACTTAAAGGTTTCTCTTGGGCCATAACTAACAAGTCATAATGTATGTAGCCAATCTTCATATTTACATTAGAGGTTATGTAGCAATAATAACACTAGGATGTAATGCAAATGCGCTGCGTTAGAAATATTTTAGAGCATATTGCAGTGTAAAAATATAGTGACTAACAATAAAAAAAACAAAAATAATCAGGTAATAAACCTCCATAAAAGAGGTAATACAGTAATTATTCTTTTCATTTTGCAGGCGATAGCAGCATTAGTGGTGGCAGCTGTGGGATCACCGCTTCCACACGAAGACTGTAAACATGAAATTATTACATACAGTGGAGCGGTGCCCATTGGGTCACTACATGCAGGGCATTATGTAGCAGTACCGGCACACCATTACCAGGCAGCATATTCAGTAGGTGCCGCACCAGCTGTTGTGTCTTATGCTGCAGCGCCTGCATCCTCTGTTTCCCATGTACTACATCAGTCCGTCCAGCCTACACCAGAAGTGCAAAGAGAAACTGCTGCTTTTATGGCTGCATGGAATGAGGCTGCTGCACGAGCAACTCAGATCCAAAGAACTCTTGTTAGATCTGCACCCTCTGGCACTTACAGCATTCAAATTCCAAAGCAAGTAGAAGCAACTGAAGAAGTAAAGCGGGCAACTGCTCAGTTTATGGCAGCTTGGAACAAAGCTGCTCGACGTGCAACTGTTGTTGAACAAGCAGTGTACTCTTTGCCACAGCCTGTGCAACCAACTGAAGATGTAAAAAGAGCTACTGCTGAATTTATGGCTGAATGGGAAAGAGCTGCTCAACAGGCTTCAGCAATTAGACAGGCAGTATCTTACACTGCCACCCCTTATTCTGGAGTCCCACGACAGGTAGAGGCTACTGATGAAGTCAAGAGAGCTACTGAAGAGTTCTTGGCAGCTTGGAATAAGGCCGCAGCACGTGTGCCTACCATTCAGACCACTCTCTACCACATTACTGGAACCACCCCATCTTCAGGAGTACCAACAATTGTTGGTGGTGTTCCCCAGTTTACTCCCGAAGTTGCCCATGCAACAGCCGAATTCACGAAGGTTTGGAATGCCGCTGCTGCAGCTGCCGCAGCAGCCCCTGATGTTAACATAATTATGGGATCCAGATCACATTCTGGATATCACCATGCGCCTGCAGCTGTATCGTATGCTGCAGCTTCTTTCCCTGCTTCATCATATGCACTGCCTCAGCCTGTCCAGCCTACTCCGGAAGTACAGAGTGCTACAGCTGCATTCATGGCTGCTTGGAATGCAGCTGCTCAGCGAGCAACAAAGCTACAGGCAACCTTGGTGAAATCTGGTGATACTGTGGAACTTCCTCGTCAAGTAAAAGAAACCGATGCAGTAAAGCAGGCTACTGCAGAGTTTATGGCTGCATACAATGCAGCTGCTCGACGTGCAACTGTTGTAGAACAAGCGGTGTCCACTTTACCCCGGCAAATTAGTCAAACTGCTGATGTCGAGAAAGCTACCGCTGAATTCATGGCTGCCTGGCATGCAGCCGCCCAAAGAGTATCAACTCTTAGAGACTCGGTATCAACTGCATATTCTGCTCCTCAGCAGGTGAAGCCTACTCCGGAAGTTCAAAGAGCTACAGCTGAGTTCATGGCTGCATGGAATGAGGCGGCAGCACGAATTCCCAAGATCGAGACGACCCTGTACACTCTTTCTGGATCAGCGGCTCTTGATTCAGCACGGTCTCCACAACCTGTGTCAGATACACCTGAAGTTAAAGCAGCTAAAGAGGCTTTCTTGGCTAAATTCCGTGCTGCTGAGGCAGCGGCTACTCGAGCATCCAGAGTCCGTGGTGTTCTTCCAGTTCCCACTGTGTGGAGTGCTACTCCTATTCAACACATAGCATACAGCGGAGGCGCCCTACACCAAACCTATTCCATCAGTGACCGTATCTTCGCTCCCTTCTCTGGTCAACCCATCTACTTGAAGGACTGTCCACATTAATTAAACATTCGTGTTCCTGCCGAACCGTCAATTTCCATACTAGTATCTATTACAATGTATTTTTTTACCAAGTGTGTTTGTACATAAAGAACGCAAGATTGGAAATAATAAAGTTGTGTCATTGATGCCTTTATACATTTGCTTTACTGGGAGACAAATAGCGCAAAGCCGACAAGTGGCGACAAACACAACTGCAGAGAGGAGCCTGATTGAGACGTTTCACATGTGAACAGGTTTTCAGTTAAGGAGAAACGTCTCGGTAAAGTTCCTTTTTGTAATTGTCATTCAACTTTTGCTATACTTCTTTAGCTATGACTTTCAATGCACTTTATGTATTTGCTTGGACTAGTTTCAGAATAATATTAAACAAACTTTTTAAACGTATGTAATATAAGAGAAGCTTCACACTACTGGAAATAAAATTGTGGAAACTTTCTAAATATTAAAATTTATAATAACACGGATCATAATTACTCACCTTCAACAGATCTCATGAATAACCAAGCTAATACTACATATTATTATTATTATATTCACTTGTAAATTTGGCAGGGTCATCCACGGACCTTTAGTCTAATCTCGGGTGGCCCAACTGTGGGCCCGTGGGCCACAAGTGGCCCGCGGGTTGATTTTTAGTGGCCCATAAGCACTCATATTAATATATTATTATTATTATAATCAAAAAGAAGCGCTAAGCCACAAGGGCTATACAGCATATTAATATATTGATTTGCTGAGTTTTTATCTATTAAAAAAAATTAAAGTATCTGCAGAAAGATTCTTTTCATTTCTTCAAAACGAACAGCTGAGCAATACACAGGTGTACAAAACTCAGCTGCAAGATAAAGACTCTTTGCAGCCTAACATTCCCAACAGACATGACAGCTCGCTTGAATGTGTCGAATCTGAGCTTACATTATTATTATTATTACAATCAAGGGGGAAGCGCTAAACCCGGAGGATTATACAGCGCCTGGGGGGGGGGATGTGGAAGGCATTCAGGCTTAATTTAGGGAACTGGAGCACAGATCCAATTCCCTAAATCAAGAGCCCCTCACCAACATCAAGGAACCTTCCTTGAGGGGATCTGAGCTTACAAAACAACAAAATAATTCTCAACTGGTTGGGCACATTGAAGCTTTCCACAATTGTATTATTATTATAATGGGGGAGCGCTAAACCCGTAGGATTGTACAGCGCACGGGGGGGATGGAAGGTATTCAGGCTCAATTCAGGGAACCGGAGCACAGATCTAATTTCCTAGATCAAGAGCCCCTCACCAGCGTCAAGGAACCTCCCTTGAGAGGATTATTATTATTATTATAATCAAGGGGGAAGCGCTAAACCCGGAGGATTATACAGCGCCTGGGGGGGGGGGATGTGGAAGGCATTCAGGCTTAATTCGGGGAACTGGAGCACAGATCCAATTCCCTAAATCAAGAGCCCCTCACCAACATCATCCCTTGAGAGGAGCTTTCCACAAGAAGCAGCAGCTATTCAGTGTGTGTTTAGAAAGGAATGATCTTGCACACTTCGTGTCTTGTCGTGAACTCAAGGCAGGTGATATCGTCAGACTTTTCATGTTTTGTTAAAGATTTTTTTTTTCTAGCGAGTTTGAGAAAGGATTTAGAGAATTTGAAACTCAGTCTCCTTTTATTTAACAACCCTATGGAAGTTAATGTGGAGACGATTATCAGAACTTCAACTTTAACTGTGTGAACTGCAGTCTGACCCATTGTTGCCTCCTGTTTGACTACCCGCCTCAACAAGCAGTCTATATAGCAATGAATCCACGAAATAAGTGATTTTGAATCATTTGTTGAGACGGGTATTCAAACAGGAGGCTGAAATTAATCCTTAAGCATACCACTGCCACGAACGTCCTCGCAACATGAGCCTAGCTTGCTAGAAGAGAGGGAGACTACTTCCCGGTAAAAGTAGGTCTTAGACAGGGATGTGTAATGTCACCATGGTTGTTTAATAAATTCATAGATGGGGTTGTAAAAGAAGTAAATGCTAGGGTGTTTGGGAGAGGGGTGGGATTAAATTATGGGGAATCAAATTCAAAATGGGAATTGACACAGTTACTTTTTGCTGATGATACTGTGCTTATGGGAGATTCTAAAGAAAAATTGCAAAGGTTAGTGGATGAGTTTGGGAATGTGTGTAAAGGTAGAAAGTTGAAAGTGAACATAGAAAAGAGTAAGGTGATGAGGGTATCAAATGATTTAGATAAAGAAAAATTGGATATCAAATTGGGGAGGAGGAATATGGAAGAAGTAAATGTTTTCAGATACTTGGGAGTTGACGTGTCGGCGGATTGATTTACGAAGGATGAGGTTAATCATAGAATTGATGAGGGAAAAAAGGTGAGTGGTGCGTTGAGGTATATGTGGAGTCAAAAAACGTTATCTATGGAGGCAAAGAAGGGAATGTATGAAAGTATAGTAGTACCAACACTCTTATATGGATGTGAAGCTTGGGTGGTAAATGCAACAGCGAGGAGACGGTTGGAGGCAGTGGAGATGTCCTGTCTAAGGGCAATGTGTGGTGTAAATATTATGCAGAAAATTCGGAGTGTGGAAATTAGGAAAAGGTGTGGAGTTAATAAAAGCATTAGTCAGAGGGCAGAAGAGGGGTTGTTGAGGTGGTTTGGTCATTTAGAGAGAATGGATCAAAGTAGAATGACATGGAAAGCATATAAATCTATAAGGGAAGGAAGGAGGGGTAGGGGTCGTCCTCGAAAGGGTTGGAGAGAGGGGGTAAAGGAGGTTTTGTGGGCGAGGGGCTTGGACTTCCAGCAAGTGTGCGTGAGCGTGTTAGATAGGAGTGAATGGAGACGAATGGTACTTGGGACCTGACGATCTGTTGGAGTGTGAGCAGGGTAATATTTAGTGAAGGGATTCAGGGAAACCGGTTATTTTCATATAGTCGGAGTTGAGTCCTGGAAATGGGAAGTACAATGCCTGCACTTTAAAGGAGGGGTTTGGGATATTGGCAGTTTGGAGGGATATGTTGTGTATCTTTATATGTGTATGCTTCTAAACTGTTGTGTTCTGGGCACCTCTGCAAAAACAGTGATAATTTGTGAGTGTGGTGAAAGTGTTGAATGATGATGAAAGTATTTTCTTTTTGGGGATTTTCTTTCTTTTTTGGGTCACCCTGCCTCGGTGGGAGACGGCCGACTTGTTGGAAAAAAAAAAAAAAAAAAAAAAATATATATATATATATATATATATATATATATATATATATATATAATATATATATATATATATATATATATATATATATATATATATATATATATATATATATATATATATATGTCGTGCCGAATATGTAAAACTGGTCAATTAGCAAGAACTCATTTAAAATTAAGTTCTTTCCAAAATTTTCTCTTATACGTTTAAAGATATATTTTTTCATTAATGTTAATGTAAAAATTTTTAATTTTGCTCGGAGATAAAACACCTCAATTACTGGGAGCGCTTGAGGTTCCTAAACCTGTATTCCCTGGAACGCAGGCGGGAGAGATACATGATTATATACACCTGGAAAATCCTAGAGGGACTAGTACCGAACTTGCACACGAAAATCACTCACTACGAAAGCAAAAGACTTGGCAGACGATGCAACATCCCCCCCAATGAAATGCAGGGGTGTCACTAGCACGTTAAGAGACCATACAATAACTGTCAGGGGCCGAGACTGTTCAATTGCCTCCCAGCATACATAAGGGGGATTACCAACAGATCCCTGGCAGTCTTCAAGCTGGCACTGGACAAGCACCTAAAGTCGGTTCCTGACCAGCCGGGTTGTGGCTCGTACGTTGGTTTGCGTGCAGCCAGCAGTAACAGCCTGGTTGATCAGGCTCTGATCCACCAGGAGGCCTGGTCACAGCCCGGGCCGCGGGGGCGTTGACCCCCGGGACTCTCTCCAGGTAAACGAATCTTAGAAAACTTACCTAACCTTATTATAACACGAACAATTTATTTTAGCCTAACCCAACTAAATATATTTTAGATTTGGTTACAATAATTTAATACTAAACAAACACAGTGAAATATATTTTTTCCGTTAGGTTCAGAATGATTTTGGCGAAATTATTGCATACACAAATCTTCGCTTGTCCTATATGGCAAGATGAGCATTGCTATTTAAGCCAAGATCGCAAGTTCTGCCTATTCGGCACGACATATATATATATATATATATATATATATATATATATATATATATATATATATATATTATATATATATATATATATATATATATATATATATATATATATATATATATATTATATATATATATATATATTATATATATATATATATATATATAATATATATATATATATATATATATATATATATATATATATATATATATATATATATATATATATATATATATAACACACCGACCATCCGACTTACCACCGAGTTCGGTTCCGAGAAACCGGTCGTAAGTCGAACTTTACTACTGAATATCAACAAAACATTTATTTTATTGTTTTATTTTGGTATTTCATGTTTTACTTTACTTTTTATGCTGTTAGTACTGTATTTTATACTGTAAGGTTTAGGATAAACACTGTGTACAACACAAATAGTTGTTTATTTCCCAGAAATTTGGCATAAAAAAGAAGGTCGTAAGTCGAGTGGTATATATATATATTATATATATATATATATATATATATATATATATATATATATATATATATATATATATATATATATATATATATATATATATATATATATATATATGTCGTGCCGAATATGTTAAACTTGTCAATTAGCAAGAACTCTTTTAAAATTAAGTCCTTTCTGAAATTTTCTTTTATACGTTTAAAGATATATATTTTTCATTAATGTTAATGTAAAAAAAAATAATTTTGTACGAAAAGAATCTTAGAAAACTTACCTAACCTTATTATAACAAGAGCAATTTATTTTAGCCTAACCCAACTAAATATATTTTAGATTTGTTTACAGATATTTAATACTAAACAAACACAATGAAATATATTTTTTTCGTTAGGTTCAGAATGATTTTGGCGAAATTATTGCATACACAAATTTTCACTTGTCCTATATGGCAAGATGAACCTTGCTATTTAAGTCAAGATCGCAAGTTCTGCCTATTCGGCACGACATATATATATATATATATATATATATATATATATATATATATATTATATATATATATATATATATAATATATATATATATATGCGCTTTGAAGAAGAAGGATGGGGAAATCAGACCCATTGCTGTTGGTAACACTCTTCGCCGTTTCGTTGCCAAAGCAGCAGTAAGAAACATTCTCCTAGAAGCCGCCAGCTTACTCCAGCTACACCAGCTGGGCTTTGAAGTCTCTAAGGCAGTGAAGCTGCAGCTCATGCAGCAAGGGTCTACATCAGGGACTTACCAGAAGACAAGGCCATAGTCAAAATTGACTTTAGAAATGCTTTTAATATGGTGAAAAGAGATGTGGTTTTGCCAGCCGTTCGGGATCGGTTCCCCAGATTTTTTTTTCCTACATTTCAGCTGGTTACAGCAAACCCTCAATTCTTTTCTTTGGCGAACATGAAATTCCCTAATCAGAGGGTGTTCAGCAGGGTGACCCACTTGCTCCACTTGTCTTCTGCTTGGCAGTAAGAGAACTAAATTCCAGCCTGCGCAGCGAGCTCAGCATCTGGTACCTGGATGATGGAACTCTGGCAGGTACTGAAGAGTCCCTGCTAGAGGACCTACAACTGGCGAAAACACAGGGAGAAGCCTTGGGACTCATCCTCAATCCCTCCAAGTGTGAAATCATCACAAGGAACCAGGAAATAATCAGAGCTCTGCGAACAATCCTTCCTGAAGTTTCTACTACCACTGCATCATTCATCAGCACTGAAGTGAATTAGTTGCATAGTCGCGAATACTAGATCCTTCGTCAAAAAGCTCTTGATAGCATTTTTTTCGAATCACAAGGGAATCCAACCAAGAATTTTTCAGAGCCTTTTAATTCATTTTGAATAACAATGTTATTCATACAGCTGACATGCAAGGAATGTCGCAACACATGCAATAATGTATTTGCATTAGAGCCAGGGGGTGATGAAAGTGAAGCTTAAGGCCTCTTGGACTACTGATGGTTCCTTATCAGAAGCTTGCAATAGGAGGGAGTGGTAAACGAGGTGAAAAATTCAGGAATCCGCCAGCAGTATGTTGTCATTGGGACAACGTAGCCGGAAGCAAGAGGGAAGACAGTTCATCTCTTAACATTTTAACGCAAAGTACAGTGTTAATCTCAATAATCATATAAGTGATACTAGAAATACCAAGCTCCTTCCTCACATTAAGAACCTTGGCAGGTTGAGGGACTGATCACCTCAAACTTCTACCCTCCTTACCCACTTCTACTTTGTATTGGACTGATGAAGCCACTGTGTGGCGAAACGTTTCTTCAATAAAGATTCCCATGTGTTGCATAAGTGTCTCAATTCTTCAACTTGTCGGTTTTCAAAACCATTCATCACATCTGTCAGACACTGCAACATCATGGGATCTTGGTACAAAGACTTCAACCCTTGCCCAACCTTTGGACGACGACCTACTTACACTAGTGGCAGGTCCCACTGTGATCCCGCCTCCTCCTGCTTCAAGTCATCTCACCGCAGTATATAAGCCACCTTTCTGGCCCTATGCTGCACTTCCTACAAGAGTGATGGACTGAACACATCGCATCCAGGTTGAGGGACTGATTACCTCAAACTTCTACTCTCCTTACCCACTTCTACTTTGTATTGGACTGATGAAGCCACTGTGTGGCGAAACGTTTCTTCAATAAAGATTCCCATGTGTTGCATAAGTGTCTCAATTCTTCAAGGAGGGGATGACAAAGGCGGCGGCAGGAGTTGGGAAGGTCAGGAGGCAGCCAGCAGGATGAAGTGTATAGTTGATGGTCGGTGGGAGGCTTCTTAAACTAGTGTCCCAGAACGTAGAGACAATAACTTCGCTTTTGGTAGATGGACGAGGTCAAACTTGCCTTTGGGGTTTACCCCAAGAGCAATAAGGATACTGAGCACGTCGGCAAGGCTGTAGGGATGTGGTCCAGTACTGGTAAACTTAGCATGTCCATTCTGGAGGAGTTGGATCAACGTCCGGAGAATTAACATTGCAGGATACTGACGAGTGGTGTAGAATATGATATCAGGTATTTCGAGGTCGTTATCATTAGTCTGAGGCAGGCGAAGTCGTTGGTAGGGCAGTTTTAGTGGCGATGGAAGACCAGGACGCTGCTCGTGTCTTGACAGATGTGGTTGCTGGCGTTGGAGACTGTTTCTCATTGGAGGGAGGTGGAGGCACTTGGGGCAGCGAGGGCTCTGACTGGTTCCTGTGAGTGGTGGTGGCTGGAGGAGGAGGCGGTATAGGTCTGGCAAGATCTCAACCTCTAGTCAGATCAGCGGTTGCCGTCTCTCTCCCTTGTTCACTGATAGTCGAGGTCCCTGTCACCCTTTCCAATACCTAACCACTCTAACGCCTAAAGATTGTTCCACTCCCAGCTAAAATTAACCAATCAAAATGTAGCCTGGTACATACACCTAAGTATAAGGCCAATGCGATCTTCCTGAAGGATGGCCGTTTTAAAAAAAAAAATTGTCAGCTCTATGGTCAGCATTTCATAATGATAAAGAAAACCACCCACGTTTAACTCAGCATTGTCATAAAATCTAACAAGAAACGTGATGCAGCTAACAGGAAATTGGGTTACATACTTTACAAATTTCAAACTTACATTAGGTCTCAACTGGATGATGGCTAGAGCAACACATAGAAGTCAGCATCTGTCATAATAATCAGTCTGTCCTCATACAGTAATCGCATCCCTCACAGTTTTAAGACACCTCTCATATAAAGACAGCACCTTTCGCAGCAGTCATCGATTACAAGTCATTCAGCCTCTCGCACAGCACTTCCTCCAGTAGTAGTCAGCAACCCTTGTGGTTGTCAGCCAACGGCTCTCACAACATCTAATCAGCGCCTCTCTGTGAAACTGAACTTGAGTGGTGAAGCAGAGCTAAACATCAGGCGACACATAATTTCGAGGTCTTCATACTTGTAATCAACAGTGAAGCGCTGCATCACCTGTACACAAATAAATTATTACCCGGTGTTATTATTATTATTATTATATTAAAATTGAATTGTACAGATTACTTTTTTATATTTAAACTAATACAAATTAAATCATAATTGCTAGAGATTAGCCACTGCATCTAGAAAGCATAAGAACATAAAAACAGAGGAGCACCGCAGTAAGCCTACTTATCATGTTAAGTAAGTTTACTCAAGTATACACAAATACAGTTACATAGATTATCATACATAGCAGCATATGTGTAGAGAACCTGGGATAACCTAAAAAAGTCAGACAAGTGACTTATTACCATCAGGGTCCTTTTAATACTTTATTATTATACTATAAAGGAGATAATATTTTATTATTATTAGGCTATAAAGGAGATAATATTTTATTATTATTATACTAGGAATGTTTGTTAGCTAAAAAAATAAAAACTCATTCTCCTGCCTTTCTGTCGCTACATTCATTAGGCACCTCTTGGCATTCTTCTTGAACTGGTTCATGCTATGACTGGCTTTGACATGTAAAGGCAGCCTGTTCCATTCATTTATTGCTGTACAATAAAAGGTATTTGAAGCCTGGCCACTGACTGTGGGCACTACGAAGTTGTGCTCTCTCCCCCTGGTACTATGATTGCTTTGGCTCCCAGCCTAGACAAAATTGGCAGCAAGATATTCCGGACACTGTTTGTGAGCTATTTTATAAACTTGATTTAACTTTGTTTTAATCTGTTTTCAACATTCAGTATATCTAACTGTTGTAAATTCATCCTGGTCTACATGCTCTCTTGGACCCAGGTCCAGGATGAATCTTACTATTTTGTTCTGGGTGATTTGTAGTCTGTCTCAGTTTTTTTTTTTTTTTTTTTTGTCAAGGCAGAATACCATGAAGAGCAAGCGTAGTCCATATGACATTGTATTAGAGCTAGACATGGGTCCTGCGAGCCTCAGGAGGTAGACACTGTGCTTGTCTGTAAAGGAACTTCGGTCTGGCATTCACTTTCTTTACTACACTGTTCCTTATAAATTCTCCTGACATGTATGGGTCAAAGGGGATCCCCAGATATTTTACTGAGGAAACTGAAGTGATGGGCTCCCATTACACCGGACATAAAAATTATTTACCCTCCTCAGTTTATGTTTCGTGTCAAAGAGTATGGCTTCAGTTTTCCCAAGGTGTAACGATAGTTTGTTGTCTACTAACCATTTGCTGCAGGACTCCAGTTCCAGTGTTATTACATTAGCTATATCTTGTGGGTCTTTACCTGACACTAACAGAGCACTGTCATCTGCATACAGGAGTTTGCACTTGACACTAAGAGGTATGCCGTTTACATAACAAAAAGAATTAAAGGGACCCAGAATACTATCTCGGGGCACTCCACATACTATCGGCAGGGGTTCTGATTCTGTTTTGTTGATTTTGACAATTTGTATCCTGTTGCTAAGGTAGAACTTAAACCGGTCTACGGAACCTATGCCGATAGCTTGAAGTTTCTTACACAATATATTGTGGTTGACAGTATCGAAGGCCTTTTGTAAGTCTAAAGTTACCATACCTATGAGGTTCCCCACTGACATTTCAGTTCTCATGTAACCAATCAGATTAATTAGGGAGGTGTCGGCTGAGTAAGATCTCCTAAAGCCTGATTGGTAACTATGAAGAATGTTGTTGTCACTAAGGTACTTAACTACTTGACAGTACACCGCCCTCTCTAGAATTTTGGATATTACACTGAGTATACTAACAGGCCTATAGTTGCTGACATCAGACCTACTATCTTTCTTGAAGATAGTAGTGACTCTGGCCTCCTTGAACCCCTCCGGGGCGAAATTAGTGGTGATGGACAAATTTATTATGTGAGTAATGGGGACTGGCAATTCAGAGGCACCATGTTTTAAGAACTTAGCAGAATGTTATTTGGGCCGTTGCTCTTAGTTGGGTTTAACCTGCTTAGTTCTTTTTGCACGAAGTCATGAGATACACTTACTAGTTGACAACTGTTTGGGGTTACCCTTTATTGGTATAGTATGTTACAAACTTATCAGAGTCTGTGTTAAAGGTCTTTGATGCAGCTGGTAGTTTACTTACTAGTGTTGATGCGACAGATGTGCAGTAGGAATTAACACTATTTGCTACTTTAGTTTTGTCGCATACCTCGTTATCGACATTTAGTACTATTTCTGATCTATCTACGGGTTTATGGCTATAACCCAACTGTTTTAGTTGTTGCCAGAACTTTCTGGGGTTATTCTTGTACTGTTCGATTTTTGAGCAATAGTGCCTTGCCTTTGCTCTTTTTATAAGCCTCTGCACTCTGTTCATCACCCTCTGGAATTCATTTAGCGCTGCAATATCCTGTCTGTTTGCCTTAAATCCTTTTAGCAACTGGTCTCTGAATTTCATATTATCTAATATCTCAGTAGTCATCCAGGGTTCGGTTCTCCACTTAATCCTAACCTCTTTAACTGGTGGGTGCAATATTATCCAGGATGGCAGTGAACACTGTTTCGAATTTTTCCCACTCATCTCATTCATATATACGTCTAACGATTTTTTTACCCTTTGTAAATCTTAATTTATCCAATGTGAAACCACTGTTTCAAGTATCATCAAATCAAAAGTGTAGTAATGATAAATTAATGAATAAGACACATGTCCAACACCTGGGAATCTTTACTGAGAGACGTTTCGCCGGCACAGAGACTTTATCGATCTAATACAGATAAATGGGGATGGAGACCTCTATACAGGAGCCAGTGAACGATGTGTACAGATGCAGCAGTTGAAGACATGGTCACATGTGAGTGAGGTCCTCTACAAGTAGATCAGGCAAATAAAGTGGACTAGATGTTTAGAAACAGAATTGAAAATGTATAGAGGAACAGCAGCTAAAGACGTGGTTATTTGTGGATTGGTTGGTTAGTTGATTGGGTTTAAAGTTTATCGACTGCACAAGGGACATTAAAGCTGCACGTTAACCTTCTCAACACCTAACAAGAATACTTTAAGCCGGAAAATAGGGATTAAAGCAAACTCTAAGCATATACACTCTGAGAGAAATACACATCTCAGGGTGTATATCCCAAGCGTGGCGGGGCCACTAATGATTATCGGTCAGGCCCATTTTTTCGAGTTCTCTCCTGTCTGGATATCCTCAGTACACTATTCATATCTCCTCTGTTTATATCGTATATACCCGAGTATAGGTCGAGGCATTAAGACCAGATTTATAAGCAAAATGTTTGGAGTAAACGTATCCAAGAATAATACTTCTGTGACATGGAAATCTTCACATATTGAGGCTCTAGCGCACACTAGATTCCTACTTCTTTAGTGCAACAAAGACAAAACAGTCCTCGGTAACAATTTTCTATCTTATAAATGCAAATATGAGAACATAATGCAAGAATTTCAGGTAAATCTAAAACGTAATGGAAAGGCTGGGAATCTGACATTTGCTGTAAGCGGTTTCTGACCAGTAAGACTCCACTGTTCCTGGTCGTGAACAAGCAATAGTGGAGACGATAATCCGAAAAAAATACAGGTAAACAGGAAAATCTATTTAGGATTTACCTTATGTCTCCCGTAAATGATAGTCGTAAACATGGACACTCACAAGTACATAAAGGACTCAGTCGTGTGTCTTGACATTGTTGATGCTGACAGCCAATTTTATCTGTGTAGGATTTATATCAGAGAAAACTTTATATGTGATGCGTATATCTGTTTGAACTTAGTAGGTCATTAAAGTTATTTTTTCATTTTAATTTGTGAGGTATTCTGTAAAATCTGTCACATATACTTGCAACCTACACTTAGTCCATGAGTCAGGTGAGACGGAACTAATCGAGAGACCAAGCAAGGCGTAGTCTATATTTATGGTGCACTTTTGGGGCCTGCAAAAATACAGGGCAGTAAAATCACTGACAGGGAATGTGCTAAGGACGACAGATACCCCTGATCAGTTCGTAAGTTCATGGACTGGTTTCAATATTATAATACGTAGTAATGTGATAGTCAAGAGGGATGCTGTTGATAAGTAAAAAACAGTTGCTGTTGCAATTGTGTCTTATCAACTTTACAGTATTACATGTCATAATGGTATGCACAAGGATGTTGTTGACCTACAATAAATGCTTGGGCAATTCAGATGTCAACTGTACATAAAGTACTCAACTAGTCTCCTTTCGTACGCTATCAGAAGTAACTACAAAGCAGGTATATGTCACTGCTCCCTACAAGCGCAGCCAGACATACCCAGTCCACTAATTTGCAATGGCTGGGTATCAGATCAGGGCCTGCTGAAAATCACCTGGATGTCTGGCCTTCCCGCACTCCGAGGCCGTATTAAATTTTTTTGTTAATGTACGAAGAGCTGTGTGATGACTCACGAAATCATAATGACACGATTGCAAACAAACCATACCACGGGTGGGGATAGAACCCGCGATCAGAGTCTCAAAACTCCAGACCGTCGCGTTAGCCACTGGACCAGCTAGCCACAATAAGATTCGTCCAATTAGTTATATTTCTACACCTATGGTGCAGAAATATACCTAGTTGGACGAATCTTATTGTGGCTAGCTGGTCCAGTGGCTAACGCGACGGTCTGGAGTTTTGAGACTCTGATCGCGGGTTCTATCCCCACCCGTGGTATGGTTTTTTAAACTGTGTGATACCTGTCACTGCACTGGAAACGGGCAACAATGTGCTGATGTTTGCTTCTTACGAACGTATATCAGAAACATTCGGTACCTTCAATTGGTATTGATCGGTCAAAATTAGGGAACTGCCGGACTGTCACTTTACTAAACTCTTCACTGTCTTCCAAAGATTTGAGATGCGCTTTTCTGCTATACTGTGATAAAAAATCTTGTTTCTTTTAAATAGCCTGAAACATATGAAAATTAAATCAGCGTTCAACTCTTCACAGTATCAACTTACTCTAGTCAGGAAGATGTACATCTCCTGCTCTGCGATGCGTCGACCGATGCACATCCTGGTGCCAATGCCAAAGGGAACTGCGGAGAAAGGATGAATGGGGCCCAGAGGTCTGTCTCTCATCCAACGCTCAGGGAGGAACTCCTCCGCTCGAGGGAAGAAAGCTTCATCCCTGCCCATCAGAGTGCCCATTACCATCACTTGCCACTATGTAAAAACAAACAAATATACGTATTAAAGTACGAAGATATTTCACAGATTTACAAACATATGCTCTGGCTATTACCTACCCATTGTAAAATAAAGTGGCACAGTGAAATAAAATAAAATGTAAATATTAGTAATAATACCATGGGTACAACAATTTAAAATAGCCCTAAAAACATTGAAAATGAAACTTTACGACTTGCTGAACCATTATCACGGCATTATTAGCCATTATTTCGCTTGTAAGTACATTTTGCTACAATTTTTTTTTTGGTGAAAGAACCTCTTAGTTAACTATATATATACATATATATATATATATATATAAAATATTATATATTATATATATATATATATATATATATATATACTATATATATATATAAATATATATATATATATATATATATATATATATATATATATATATATTTTTTTTTTCAACAAGTCGGCCGTCTCCCACCGGGGCAGGGTGACCCAAAAAAGAAAGAAAATCCCCAAAAAGAAAATACTTTCATCATCATTCAACACTTTCACCACACTCGCACATTATCACTGTTTTTGCAGAGGTGCTCAGAATGCAACAGTCTAGAAGCATACACATATAAAGATACACAACATATCCCTCCAAACTGCCAATATCCCAAACCCCTAGTTTAAAGTGCAGGCATTGTACTTCCCATTTCCAGGACTCAAGTCCGACTATATGAAAATAACCGGTTTCCCTGAATCCCTTCACTAAATATTACCCTGCTCACACTCCAACAGATCGTCAGGTCCCAAGTACCATTCGTCTCCATTCACTCCTATCTAACACGCTCACGCACGCTTGCTGGAAGTCCAAGCCCCTTGCCCACAAAACCTCCTTTACCCCCTCTCTCCAACCCTTTCGAGGACGACCCCTACCCCGCCTTCCTTCCCCTATAGATTTATATGCTTTCCATGTCATTCTACTTTGATCCATTCTCTCTAAATGACCAAACCACCTCAACAACCCCTCTTCTGCCCTCTGACTAATGCTTTTATTAACTCCACACCTTCTCCTAATTTCCACACTCCGAATTTTCTGCATAATATTTACACCACACATTGCCCTTAAACAGGACATCTCCACTGCCTCCAACCGTCTCCTCGCTGCTGCATTTACCACCCAAGCTTCACACCCATATAAGAGTGTTGGTACTACTATACTTTCATACATTCCCTTCTTTGCCTCCACAGATAACGTTTTTTGACTCCACATATACTTCAATGCACCACTCACCTTTTTTCCCTCATCAATTCTATGATTAACCTCATCCTTCATAAATCCATCCGCCGACACGTCAACTCCCAAGTATCTGAAAACATTCACTTCTTCCATACTCCTCCTCCCCAATTTGATATCCAATTTTTCTTTATCTAAATCATTTGACACCCTCATCACCTTACTCTTTTCTATGTTCACTTTCAACTTTCTACCTTTACACACATTCCCAAACTCATCCACTAACCTTTGCAATTTTTCTTTAGAATCTCCCATAAGCACAGTATCATCAGCAAAAAGTAACTGTGTCAATTCCCATTTTGAATTTGATTCCCCAAAATTTAATCCCACCCCTCTCCCGAACACCCTAGCATTTACTTCCTTTACAACCCCATCTATAAATATATTAAACAACCATGGTGACATTACACATCCCTGTCTAAGACCTACTTTTACCGGGAAGTAGTCTCCCTCTCTTCTACACACCCTAACCTGAGCCTCACTATCCTCATAAAAACTCTTTACAGCATTTAATAACTTACCACCTATTCCATATACTTGCAACATCTGCCACATTGCTCCTCTATCCACTCTATCATATGCCTTTTCTAAATCCATAAATGCAATAAAAACTTCCCTATCTTTATCTAAATACTGTTCACATATATGCTTCAATGTAAACACCTGATCTACACATCCCCTACCCACTCTGAAACCTCCTTGCTCATCCGCAATCCTACATTCTGTCTTACCTCTAATTCTTTCAATTATAACCCTACCGTACACTTTCCTGGTATACTCAGTAAGCTTATTCCTCTATAATTTTTACAGTCTCTTTTGTCCCCTTTCCCTTTATATAAAGGGACTATACATGCTCTCCGCCAATCCCTAGGTACCTTCCCCTCTTTCATACATTTATTAAACAAAAGTACCAACCACTCCAAAACTATATCCCCCCCTGCTTTTAACATTTCTGTCATGATCCCATCAGTTCCAGCTGCTTTACCCCCTTTCATTTTACGTAATGCCTCACGTACCTCCCCCACACTTACATTCTGCTCTTCTTCACTCCTAAAAGATGGTATACCTCCCTGACCAGTGCATGAAATTACTGCCTCTGTTTCTTCCTTAACATTTAAAAGTTCTCAAAATATTCTCGCCATCTACCCAATACCTCCATCTCCCCATCTACTAACTCCCCTACTCTGTTTTTAACTGACAAATCCATATTTTCCCTAGGCTTTCTTAACTTGTTTAACTCACTCAAAATTTTTTCTTATTTTCATTAAAATTTCTTGACAGTGCCTCTCCCACTCTATCATCTGCTCTCCTTTTGCACTCTCTCACCACTCTCTTTACCTTTCTTTTACTCTCCATATACTCTGCTCTTCTTATAACACTTCTGCTTTGTAAAAACCTCTCATAAGCTACCTTTTTCTCTTTTATCATACCCTTTACTTCATCATTCCACCAATCACTCCTCTTTCCTCCTGCCCCCACCCCCCTATAACCACAAACTTCTGCCCCACATTCTAATACTGCATTTTTAAAACTATTCCAACCCTCTTCAACCCCCCCACTACTCATCTTTGCACTAGCCCACCTTTCTGCCAATAGTCGCTTATATCTCACCCGAACTTCCTCCTCCCTTAGTTTATACACTTTCACTCCCTCTTACTTGTTGTTGCCACCTTCCTCTTTTCCCATCTACCTCTTACTCTAACTATAGCTACAACTAAATAATGATCCGATATATCAGTTGCCCCTCTATAAACATGTACATCCTGGAGCCTACCCATCAACCTTTTATCCACCAATACATAATCTAATAAAAATACTTTCATTACGTGCTACATCATACCTTGTATATTTATTTATCCTCTTTTTCATAAAATATGTATTACTTATTACCAAATTTCTTTCTACACATAGCTCAATTAAAGGCTCCCCATTTACATTTACCCCTGGCACCCCAAATTTACCTACTACTCCCTCCATAACATTTTTACCCACTTTAGCATTGAAATCCCCAACCACCATTACTCTCACACTTGATTCAAAACTCCCCACGCATTCACTCAACATTTCCCAAAATCTCTCTCTCTCCTCTACACTTCTCTCTTCTCCAGGTGCATACACGCTTATTATAACCCACTTTTCACATCCAATCTTTATTTTACTCCACATAATCCTTGAATTAATACATTTATAGTCCCGCTTTTCCTGCCATAGCTTATCCTTCAACATTATTGCTACTCCTTCTTTAGCTCTAACTCTATTTGAAACCCCTGACCTAATCCCATTTATTCCTCTCCACTGAAACTCTCCCACCCCCTTCAGCTTTGTTTCACTTAAAGCCAGGACATCCAGCTTCTTCTCATTCATAACATCCACAATCATCTCTTTCTTATCATCTGCACAACATCCACGCACATTCAGACTTCCCACTTTGACAATTTTCTTCTTCTTATTTTTTTTAGTAATCTTTACAGGAAAAGGGGTTACTAGCCCATTGTTCCCGGCATTTCAGTTGACTTCTACAACACGCATGGCTTACGGAGGAAAGACTCTTATTCCACTTCCCCATGGATATAAAAGGAAAATTAATAAGACCAAGAACTATTAAGATAAAATCAAAGAAAACTCAGATGAGTGTGTATAAATAAATGTGTACATGTATGTGTAGTGTGACCTAAGTGTAAGTAGAAGTAGCAAGACATGCCTGTAATCTTGCATATTTATGAGACAGACAAAAGACATCAGCAATCCTACCATCATGTAAAACAATTACAGGCTTTCGTTTTACACTCACTTGGCAGGACGGTAGTACCTCCCTGGGTGGTTGCTGTCTACCAACCTACTACCTATATACCTACTACCTATATATATATATATATATATATATATATATATATATATATATTATATATAGTAGTAGTTGTAACACAACGCAGAGTATATACGTCTAATGATATGTAAAACTATATAGATTCTATTATATTTTTTTTTTTCAACAAGTCGGCCGTCTGTCACCCTGCCTCGGTGGGAGACGGCCGACTTGTTGAAAAAAAAAAAATATATATATATAAATCTATAGGGGAAGGAAGGCGGGGTAGGGGTCGTCCTCGAAAGGGTTGGAGAGAGGGGGTAAAGGAGGTTTTGTGGGCAAGGGGCTTGGACTTCCAGCAAGCATGCGTGAGCGTGTTAGATAGGAGTGAATGGAGACGAATGATACTTGGGACCTGACGATCTGTTGGAGTGTGAGCAGGGTAATATTTAGTGAAGGGATTCAGGGAAACCGGTTATTTTCATATAGTCGGACTTGAGTCCTGGAAATGGGAAGTACAATGCCTGCACTTTAAAGGAGGAGTTTGGGATATTGGCAGTTTGGAGGGATATGTTGTGTATCTTTATATGTGTATGCTTCTAAACTGTTGTGTTCTGAGCACCTCTGCAAAAGCAGTGATAATGTGTGAGTGTGGTGAAAGTGTTGAATGATGATGAAAGCATTTTCTTTTTGGGGATTTTCTTTCTTTTTTGGGTCACCCTGCCTCTGTGGGAGACGGCCGACTTGTTGAATATATATATAGAGGAAATATTACACACCCCTTTAGGAATTAGGTATCCGCTGATAACAAGCTCTTTATCCAAAGTTCTTCCTGTGCCCAAAAACGTAGGATACAACCTGAAAATATATAATTTATTAAGCCTTGAATGAACATAAATTCATAAAATTTTCTTCAATTAGAGGCTGTGAAGCATCAATATAAATGTGAAAATAAATAATATAAAAAATATTAAATAATTATACATTCAAGTAGATATTTTTTGTTATACTTGCTAAAAATTATTTTAAATGTATTATTTAATATTTAATTATTAAATTACCATACATGTATGAGCATAATTATACCTCATGGATTCTTTAACAACAGCCTTGAGGTAGTGGAGATTGGCCAGGTGATGGGGAGTGAGTGGACCTTTGTGGTCCCCGAGCACAGTATCCACCTCCTCTTGCAGTCTAGTCTGCACCTCCGAGTTTCTAGCCAACAAGTACAGTACGAAACCCAAACTGTTCGACGTCTGAGCGTGATTATTTATATATATATATATATATATATATATATATATATATATATATATATATATATATAATATATATATACATGTATATATAATATATTCAGAGAGAAATATATATAGATATAAGCAGAAACATCATTAAATGCTGTTTTATCATGAAGCCACATTGACTTACTGGTAGCCAGTTATATGAGTGAAGCTGAAGCCTGCTAAAGGCTTTGACACTATGATAGATCTTCTATTCTTTCTCACTGACCGAACTACTGGTCTTTTGTTTGTCTGATGAACGTGTAGAATAAGAAATGTGTCTTACAAAACTCTTCTTACATTCAGTATACACTTACCTTTAATTTCGTGTGTATACTGAATACTAGAACATACTGAATGTTAGCACATATTGAATATTAGCACATAAGGATGTACGTCGTAAACGGCGTACATCCTCATTAGCGCTACTGTGTTTTTCAATAACATTTAAATAAAAAACACATTTTGGGTAAGATACACAAAAAGCCAGAATTGGTAAATTCACTGGCGTCACTCACTGTATCAATACCACCGAAGATCATATCGAGCATGAGGGTGACCACGTCCTTGCGGGAGAGTCCTGGCTTGAGGAGCAGTCCCTCCATCAGTGTCAGTTCTCGATCATCACTAGGTTCCTGCGCCAGCAACGCCGCCTCAGTCTCTCGGATGTTCTTGTCCGCAATTCTGCACGTTATCAACACATTCAGTAATGAAAATTCAGGCAATATATTACCTACTAAACTCACTGTGTTTGCATATAATATTAAATCAATTAGCAAGCAAACGGTATACCCCACTCATCTGTCTCCAGAGTGAACTCCTCAAATTTTGCAATATTTTTCTTTTTTTTTGTTGACGAATCACTCAGTAAACGAAACATAACCCTAGAAGTAATGTCAAGATAGGCGAAATGCTCTCAGAACTGTCAGTAGCTTCATCCCTGACTATTGTTCAAATGAAATAAGAGTAACAATGATGTACATAGCTTGTATTAGATCCTTGATGGGTTATCATAGCCCAAGTGACAGTGCCTTCGGCTCGAATGGGAAGACACGGGTTCGATGCAAACAAGTGGAAACGTAGGGAATGTTTCCTTACACCTGTTGCCTCGGTTCACCTAGCAGTAAATAGGTACCTGGTTGTCAGCCTATTGCTCTGGATCGTTTCCTGGAGAAGAGGTACGAAGGACCCAATGGAAAGAAGCGTGAGTGGCTTAATTGGGTTATGATGCGTTGCTAAACTTATATTTGCTAAAGAAAAGAAATCGGCCCTTGAATCCAATGTGAAAAAGTTATAATTATTCTTGGAGTTTCTTGAATTACCAAGCTCCTTCATATGATAAAGGAGCTGATATTCCCAGTGTAAGTGATAAGGCAATTAAACTTCATATTGTACTTGGCATTAAAATCCAGAAGAACACACGAAACACTCACTACATTAGTAAGTAAAATCGCAAATTATATTCAGTGTTGAATACGAGTACACTGGCAGGCCTGCATCTACTCCTGCTGACATTACCGCAGAAAGAATAACTGAAGCTGCATTTTTTTCTGTGATCCTGCCTGCCTGCCTGCCGCCCAACTCATTACTCAACTGAGACTACTGTCGGCAAGCTCAGCAAGTGTCCTCTCTTCTACATCTGCGGCTGGGTTTAGCCCTGGCACTTTTCTACAACTATTTTCTACAGCTATTCCTCGACAGTCCTCACTTACCCACTCACTTCTTGTGGAGTCTTACCTGTGTCTTCAGTTCAGTTCAGCTCAAGACCTATATTCCGTTATGCATAAGAATTAATAATTAACCTTTTAAATAACAAACAGATTCGACATCCTAATGACAAGAAAAGGTTTCCTTGTGAGGAGCTTAGTACCTAGATCATTAATGATTCATGTCATCACTAGAAAAGCAAGAAGAAGAACTAACAAAATATACAAAGGAATAGATGCACATTTCTTGTGAGATTTATCTAATACTGACTTATTCTTTCCTGATAATATTGATAAATTAACCAAATACAGTGCTTAGAAAGCAGAAACTGGGTATTACCTAGCTCTGTTATACAATATGAATATTATTGATAGACTGAAGTTGAATGTTATCGAAATGCAGTCAGACGTTGATCTACAACCCACTAGTATAAAATGAACATTGATAAGTACATATTGCATCAACCTGCAATTTAAACAGACTGATGGATGCTGCACGCTTAGGCTTGCTCAACTGTTGTTTTTGCAGTTTGGCACATGAAACGATTATCAAATTTAATCTAAGAAATGCACTCAGTCGTACTGGCGTATTATGGAACACGTACTTGGATTGAAATTTTTAATATCCACCTTACATACTCATCCTGAGACACAGAAGCAACAGAGCAAAAAACAAGTTACATCTGAAGTGAAAAATCACTAACTCTAGGAATTCCTGGTGAGTCTTCTGGAGTTTTTTGAAAGCCGGGGTTGGGAAATACATCCAAATATGGGCACTGAATTCTGCGTCATTCAGAGAAGTAAAGAGTTGATTCACCAGCTTGATCAACCTTAGGGGCTCTGAATCCGGTGCGATATTTGGATCCAAACATCCCAGCCGGCGATTCAGAGTTACACTGCCGATAGCTGTATATAAAAAATGGAAAAATCAAATCGACCATAATATTTATAAGAACATAAGATATATATTTCATATATAGATTTTTCACGTAAACGTGAATGTAACTTGTCGAAATAATTAGTCATGTGAGAACGAACCTGTGTTCGCCAGGTACAGGAGCAGGTGTTTGGAGTAGCCTACTAGCGAACCGTGGTTCAATTCCCCATATTATCCCAGGTTTCAGATTTTAATATTAAACTGAAGCATATACGTAGTAAAAACAATATATACATATTTTTCAAACTTAGAAATAATTTATTATTACTAATCATTACTCAACACTTTGAAAATATGAAATATTTTGTGGTTGTTATTGCGATGATTTACGTACATTCAAGAGCCCACTTGTAAAGCTCATTCTGAAAGTCACTCGGCATCTCCCCGAACTGTGACTGCAGAGATGCGATTCTGAAGAGCAAAAGGCATGAGTGAAAACATCAAATTCAACTCTACTTTGAAAAGTGGGTATTAAATCGACTACTTTCCAAATTGTTTATCCTTTCCAATTATTATACTTCCCGAATCTTGCCATGACTTAATCCTATTCAGAGTCTCCCCAACGTCTGTAAACCCTCAATAACTTATAATAATAATTATAATAATAATAATAAATAATAATAAATATAGGGAAGTACCACCTCTATAACTGGACTGGGGACCCTCATCCTCAGAGAAGACAATAAACGTACCTCAGGGAAAACCCCCTATATTTTATATTCTATATGAAATTTTATTAATAGACAGAATACATTGACAGAAAACACACACAAGGAAACATTGGCACAATATATCAAAGATTATGAATCTCCTTCAGCTTCTCCGAAGCTGGACACGAGCCAAGTGTGCAGTATGCATTTCCCCTCTGGATAGCCACGCTGAGGCGCTGGAACGTGAAAGTGGCTGCCCTTGGTTCCCTGGTAGTGTCGATGAGTCTGGAACCCAATTCTTTAAGCAAACGTGTGGCATTTTTTTTCCCATGATCCCAAGGTCGCTGATCCAACTGGGACAAATTTATACTGTTGGCTTATATCCCTGTACTTGCTGATCTTGTACTCCTTCCTTTGATCAGCAGCTCCTCCCTGTGGCCTGACACTGTGATGGATGTAAGTGTCAGCCAGTGTCGACACAGATATAGACCCATGCTAAGAGCTTGGCATTCTTCCAAGGATAGACGGTGATTCCGTCGGGGTGGATTGCTGGATTGTGGGTATTGTTGGCTGCTAGTGATCGGGGCTCTCTATCGGCTGAGCATCCAGCTGTAGCAAGGGTTCTCTTTATGATGTCGTTGACTTCATTGTGTCTTGCATGCCAGCCCTTGGTTTTGGAACAGTTAAGACCATGTAGACCATATTGGTTGACTTGCGCATCGCCGCAAATACACGTTTATTCCGTGTGAAATGGGGCAGCAAGGCGCAGAACCAATGCAATACGGAGGGTCTTAGGGTCGAGGCGTGTTTCCATTCCCGAAATGGGAACTGTTTGGAGAAAGTCCCCGAAGTGATGTACACTCACAGCTTGGAGACGGGCAGCCTCCCTGTCTGATGTTACAGCCCTAAACATGTTGGCAAGCACCTTTTCAGTGATGGGGTCATCACAATTTGACTGCTTGTAGGCCAGTGCTGCACTAGGTTTTGGTGTTAGAGCAGCAAGTGTAACACACACACACACACAATATATATATATATATATATATATATATATATAAAAATATATATATAATAAAAATTATATTAAAATTTAAGGGTCGGAGACCCTTGGAGCATGGGACAAGTGTGCTCTGAAGTTCCTAATAGATCTGGGTGAAAAGCTCATCATAGAAACCAAGGACCACAGGGCGACCAGCTTCCTCTTTCAGAGACTCAGTGTTGCGATCCAGAGAGGAAATGCCTGCAGCATTCTGGGCACGCGGCGCACCGCCGGGGAGCTGGACGAAGTATTCGAGATGTAGCTCTGAGTTACCTATGTTGTTTTACTTTCTATCGTATTTTTGTGAATGTTTTGTCAATGCATTTTGTCTTTAAATAGAATATATATAAAATATAGGGGGTGGTAGGTGAAAACTCTCAAACAGCTTCAGGGAGAACCTTGAGTTTTCCCTGAAACAAGTTTATTCTTTTTCTCTGAGGATGAGGGTCCCATATATATATATATATATATATATATATATATATATATATATATATATATATATATATATATATATATATATATATATATATATATATATATTATAGCATTTACTTCTTTTACAACCCCATCTATAAATATATTAAACAACCATGGTGACATTACACATCCCTGTCTAAGACCTACTTTTACCGGGAAGTATTCTCCCTCTTCTACATACACTAACCTGAGCCTCACTATCCTCATAAAAGCTCTTTACAGCATTTAGTAACTTACCACCTATTCCATATACTTGCAACATCTGCCACATTGCTCCTCTATCCACTCTATCATATGCCTTTTCTAAATCCATAAATGCAATAAAAACTTCCCTACCTTTATCTAAATACTGTTCACATATATGCTTCAATGTAAACACTTGATCTACACATCCCCTACCCACTCTGAAGCCTCCCTGCTCATCCGCATTCTTTCAATTATAACCCTACCGTATACTTTTCCTGGTATACTCAGTAAACTTATTCCTCTATAATTTTTACAATCTCTTTTGTCCCCTTTCCCTTTATATAAAGGGACTATACATGCTCTCCGCCAATCCCTAGGTACCTTCCCCTCTTTCATACATTTATTAAACAAAAGTACCAACCACTCCAACACTATATCCCCCCCTGCTTTTAACATTTCTGTCATGATCCCATCAGTTCCAGCTGCTTTACCCCCTTTCATTCTACGTAATGCCTCACGTACCTCCCCCACACTTACATTCTGCTCTTCTTCACTCCTAAAAGATGGTATACCTCCCTGGCCAGTGCATGAAATTACCGCCTCCCTTTCTTCCTCAACATTTAAAAGTTCCTCAAAATATTCTCACCATCTACCTAATACCTCCCTCTCCCCATCTACTAACTCCCCTACTCTGTTTTTAACTGACAAATCCATACTTTCCCTAGGCTTTCTTAACTTGTTTAACTCACTCCAAATTTTTTTCTTATTTTCATTAAAATTTCTTGACAGTGCCTCTCCCACTCTTTCATATGCTCTCCTTTTTTTTGTGTGTAAAGGTAGAAAGTTGAAAGTGAACATAGAAAAGAGTATGGTGATGAGGGTATCAAATGATTTAGATAAAGAAAAATTGGATATTAAATTGGGGAGGAGGAGTATGGAAGAAGTGAATGTTTTCAGATACTTGGGAGTTGACGTGTCGGCTGATGGGTTTATGAAGGATGAGGTTAATCATAGAATTGATGAGGGAAAAAAGGTGAGTGGTGCGTTGAGTTATATGTGGAGTCAAAAAACGTTATCTATGGAAGCAAAGAAGGGAATGTATGAAAGTATAGTAGTACCAACACTCTTATATGGATGTGAAGCTTGGGTGGTAAATGCAGCAGCGAGGAGACGGTTGGAGGCAGTGGAGATGTCCTGTTTAAGGGCAATGTGTGGTGTAAATATTATGCAGAAAATTCGGAGTGTGGAAATTAGGAGAAGGTGTGGAGTTAATAAAAGCATTAGTCAGAGGGCAGAAGAGGGGTTGTTGAGGTGGTTTGGTCATTTAGAGAGAATGGATCAAAGTAGAATGACATGGAAAGCATATAAATCTATAGGGGAAGGAAGGAGGGGTAGGGGTCGTCCTCGAAAAGGTTGGAAAGAGGGGGTAAAGGAGGTTTTGTGGGCAAGGGGCTTGGACTTCCAGCAAGCATGCACGAGCGTGTTAGATAGGAGTGAATGGAGACGAATGATACTTGGGACCTGACGATCTGTTGGAGTGTGAGCAGGGTAATATTTAGTGAAGGGATTCAGGGAAACCGGTTATTTTCATATAGTCGGACTTGAGTCCTGGAAATGGGAAGTACAATGCCTGCACTTTAAAAGAGGGGTTTGGGATATTGGCAGTTTGGAGGGGTATGTTGTGTATCTTTATACGTATATGCTTCTAAACTGTTGTATTCTGAGCACCTCTGCAAAAGCAGTGATAATGTGGGGTGTGGTGAAAGTGTTGAATGATGATGAAAGTATTTTCTTTCGGGGATTTTCTTTCTTTTTTGGGTCACCCTGCCTCGGTGGGAGACGGCCGACTTGTTGAATATATATATATATATATATATATATATATATATATATATATATATATATATAATATATATTATATATATATATTCGGTAAAGGCTAAATCGGTTAGAGCCTATCTCTCTGGAATGGATTAAAGGCGTTAACTGAGGGTCCACTCTAGCTAGCTAGCTAGCTAGCTATATATAATATATATATATAATATATATATATATATATATATATATATATATTATATATATATATAATATATTTATATAGATAGATAGATAGATAGATAGCTAGAGTGGACCCTCAGTTAACGCCTTTAATCCATTAAAGAGAGATAGGCTCTAACTGATTTAGCCTTTACCGAATTAATTTTTCCCATAAGAAATAATGGAAATCCAATTAATCCGTTCCTGCTGTCAGGAGGCTTGACAGAATAGTACTTCAATATGACGCTATTATCAACTCTACGGCTTATTTTTCTATCACAATTCATCTATCTTGGAGATGTTAATTTAATTACACAGTTAGTTTGATGGAGTGTAGCAGATATGCAGAGTGTAGCAGGCATGCTGGGAGTGTAGCAGACATGCAGGGAGTGTAGCAGGCATGCTGAGAGTGTAGCAGACATGCAGGGAGTGTAGCAGACATGCAGGAAGTGTAACAGGCATGCAGGGAGTGTTGCAGGCATGCAGGGAGTGTAGCAGGCATGTAGGGAGTGTAGCAGGCATGCTGGGAGTGTAACAGGCATGCAGGAAGTGTAGCAGGCATGCAGGGAGTGTAGCAGGCATGCAGGAAGTGTAGCAGGCATGCAGGGAGTGTAGCAGGCATGCTGGGAGTGTAGCAGGCATGCTGGGAGCGTAGCAGGCATGCAGGAAGTGTAGCAGGCATGCAGGGAGTGTAGCAAGCATGTAGGGGCGAGAGGAAGGTGAGTTTATTATGCTTCAATATGATGCTAATGTCATCTCTACGGCTCATTTATTTATCACAATTCATCTAATATGACATAATATTATTAAGTCTAATATGACATAATAGGACGAAAGCTCCTAACCAAGCTTTTAGGTGTTATCCGAGCTAATTTTTTTATGCCAAAGCGAGGCGTTATCCAATTTTGGCGCTATCCGATGCAGGCGTTAACTGAGGGTTCGTGGAGATGTGATGGTTGGAGTTAAACACACTTTTTGGATTGCAACACTTATATTAGCAGAGTGTGAAAGGGGGAGCC